TCTCCTTCCCCTTGGAATCCTTGCTGTGACCTGCCGGGCTCCAGCCTGGGTGCATCAGACACGGCACCTCCACCCTCCCCTTGCTCCCCTCCTAAATGTGCTCCATCCTCTTGCTATTTATGGGAGGCAATAAGGAGAAAAAAAAACACACCTTAATTTATTGGGTGATTCTAAAACTTAAACCAGTTCCTTTTTTCTGTTGCATGTTTGTAGATCAGCCAAAGCTTTAACTGCCTATTTATAGTGTCTTGTGCTTTGTGGGGTGACCGTGTGGCAGGAGGAAGGGGCTGGCTTAGCTAACGGTGTCTGGGAAGGGGAGAGGCTTTCTCTGTGCTCCTCTACCAACCTGGCTTTGTTTGGCATAGCTGAACACAGGCTCTGTGTGGAGAGGCTGCATCCGTGCTGCTGGTGCCTCAGTGCCAGCTCCTTCCGGCTGCTCCTGACAGAGGTGGGTACAGGTCGGCAGCAACAGCACCTGGGGGTCACTTCTTCCATCCCCTAACAGCCACTTCTGTCTGTTTAAGGGTCAGTTACTACTTGTACACTCTCCTGTGGAAAGCCAAGTTAACTTGTGGTTCTTGGGGGTGGGGAGGTGTGTGCTTGTCTTTTCCATCAGGAAAAAACCCACCCTTTTCTCATTCTGACTTGCTTCCAAGCTCCTTATGGAATGGAAATAGACTTTCTCAAAGCAATGATGAGCGAAGTATAGTCTGAACTGGTATTGCAGAGACTGTGTCTGCTCTGACCAGGGCATGATCACATAATCTTCTCTCTGAGCTTGTTTAGGCTGAGCTCATCTGGAGTCAACAGCTTTGCTGCTGCTTGAAACTCTTTGATGCACCCTAAAAAATACCAAAGAATATATTAAGGATTTTTAGCAAGTGTTTTTGAGCAGCAGAAATACAGCCTTGATTTGAGCAGTGACCAACTCAGGCCTGTTTGGGTTTGTGTGTCTTGCTGCAGTGCTGGGCCTGGCACTGAGCTGGCAGTGAGGGGGGTTTCTTGTTGTCTGCCCCACATGTGACACAGCTGATCAGACTCCAGATGCTGGGGCTGCATCTTTTGGTCAAAGTGCAATGCAGACTGCATGGAGTGGAGCCTGAGCTGCCTGTCCCATAGACACCTTCTTAGCAGTTGGCTCAGCTCTCTTCTTATCTGGAGATTGCCAGCACTGAGGCAGGAACATTTTTGGAAGCCAGTTGTGTCAGGCTCTCTTGTGGCTGAAATGCAGCCCAGCCAGGGCAGGGAGAGGCTGGGCTAAGCAAGTGCAGGAAAGGATACAGAGCTACTGTCTAATCTAGTTTTTATTCTCTTCCAGGTCTTGGTGACAGCCTTACATCTATTTCTCTCTCCCTGTGGAGAAGAAAGCTTCCCTGGGGGATATGTACCTAGGAGCATGGACTGTATAGAAGTCACAAGTTAGTATGCAGGTCCAAAGGTTGGTTTAATAAAGCTGGTGTTCCTTGAAAAAAAATCTTTCTTGTCTATCTTTAGACCATTGTGGCTTTAATAGCACACTTAATGTCAAAAAGCAGCTACAAATGGGAATGATGGTGCAAGCTGAATTGGGTTTTGTTTCAGACAGTAAACCTGATAAACAGGTAGAAGTGTCTGGAAGTTGTACAGAGATGAGACAAGCATTGGAGAGCAGTGTGATTTGTTACAGCAGGTGTTTTCCAAAGCATCTTTGGGAGGATGCAGGTTGCTGGATTTTTCCATGTGATTCAGTAACTTTGCTATCTTGCTTACAGGTCAGGAGGATATTAGAGATCTCTATCTCCTGGAGCAGAGCTAAAAGAGGGGGAAATGAGATGACTGGTTGAGTGCATTAAATGTGAGACCATATCTCTTCATCTGGAAGGATGATGTACTTTGTGCAGCAAACTTTGCTTTTCATATTCCATAAGCAATGTCACTGCTGTCCGGAGCAGGGATCTGCTGCTCCCTGGGTTGAGTCAGGAAAAACCTTCTATCCTGGAAAACCAGGCATCCAGGAAGGACCAACTATAATGACACTTTCTCCCCTCTGCAATGAAAGGATGTTTTGTTAGGGTGTCAACATGCTGCATGGCTGGGACTGGAAGGATTGCAATGTAATGCTAAAATCGAACAGACATTAAAGATTCCCAACCTACAAAATACTAGTATTCTATGCTGAATATTCTGTCATCTGCAAAGATGAAAGCAGCTTTAGTCTGGTCCCCCTTATGTAAACAGGGCCCTCAGAGGAGCAAATGTTTTTTTTCCAGTCCTCATAGAAGAAGTGTTAGGTCAAGAAAGAATTTTGCTTCATAAAAGCAAAGAATAAGATATTCAAAGACTTATTTAACAAAGAGCAACTTTAGCATTTGGCACAGTGACTGCTTTAATCTGCTTGGTTGTTTTTCTCCCTTGAGCAGGAAATGTAACTACCTCTTGTACACATCCCCTCTTGTTCCTTTAGAGTCCCAAGTCTGAATTTAGAGCTGTTGGTGAGGGTTAGAGCTGTTAAGTTCTCCACTCAAGAAGGAGCCTGAAAACACAGGGAGACTGAAGAGGAGCACAATTTGAGGAGAGATCCAAGCCTGTCCCCAGCTCTGACCACCACGGGTTCCAGAGCTTGTCCTGGGTAGCATGAGTGCCTGGGAAGCTGCTCCATGAAGAATAACTCTCCCCCAGGTTTTTTCCTGCTGCTTGGATGTGCTGGCTCATGCCCTGGAGCAGGACTTTTAAAAGTGATGCTCTTTGATCCTCACATCTCCATTGTTCTTGTCCAAATCAATGTTCTTCCCTTTGAAGGCATTTCTGAGCCAGCTGACAGCCTGTGGTGTCCAATCCCTCTGGAACCATCACAGCACGTTGGATCAGTGTGGAAACAAAGGCAGAGCCCGACCAGAACTGGCAAAGGCAGCAGAGCTCTGATGTCCCACTGACTTCAAAGGAGTTCCCAAGCTCACTGGAGCTGCAGTGCTTGAAGAATCCCCTATGGGCCGGGAGGAGGGGTGACCTGAGGCTCAGTGCTCCCCAGCTGCTGCCTCAGGTGTGGGTGAGGAGCAGCAGCAGGGCCCTCAGCCCTCAGGGGTGTAGAGCCTGACCAGGTGCTGCAGCTCGGAGGCGTAGCCGGTGACGGGGCAGCGCCGGTGGCTGCGCACGTGGCTGTGGATGCAGCGGTAGCAGAAGACGAAGCCCGAGGTGGCCAGGGCCGTGGGGTTGACCCGCACCTTGCGGCACAGGGGGCACAGGCTCTTCAGCTGCGGCAGGAGAGCTGTGCCAGCCCCCTCCTCCAGCTGCAGGGGAGGGGGCGGGGCTGGGAGCGCCGTCAGGGATTTGATGGCCTCCTGGTTCTCCGAGGAATACCACCAGTCCAGGAACTGCAGGAAGAAGACGCTGACGGACAGCCCGGTGGACAGGGAGAAGGCAATGCCACCCAGTGCTGTCCTCACTGCTGACTGCACTTGTTCTTTAATGCTGCAAAAAGGAGAAAACACACAGAAATCATCACTGCTGCTCATCTATCCACCTGCAAACCACAACAGAAAGGACCTGGAAGTCCCTGCTTTACACAGCTTCGTGATACTAAGGAAGTTGGACAGACAAACCCTGTTTGTCACAAGGCATCTGCTAGGATGTTTCTCCCAGATCCTTTGTGGTTTTGGAAAGTTTTAAGTCCTGTTTTGCCCAGAAGTCTAAATTGGAAGAGTTTGGATTAAGGGGACCTGGACCACCCAGAGTTTCACTTAGGGATCACTGTTTTACAGGGCATTAGGTGTGGTTGTGATGAGAAAAATCAGAGCTGTTTTGGTTCTCTTAGCAGCACTGCTGCAGTCTGCTTCCCTTGTTAGAGTGGAGGTGGAGACTGAACATAGAAAGGCTGGACTGCCCAAAGATACCCCAAGCAAGGCAATTTATTACCACAAAATCTTACGAAACTAATCCCTGCTGCTTTTCCCTTTATTTACACTAAGGATACACCCTTTGGAGCACCTTCTGCCAGACGTAAACTTCATCTTGAAGAATTTCTGGAGCACAAGGCAGTTTTACTTGCAGAGTCGCCTCTAAATTAACCCACCCACAGACCCCCTGGAAAGCAGCAGCTAAGCCATGTCCTGACATACCTCTGCTTTTGACTGGAGGTGGCTCCAGCCAGCTCCTCCTGCAGGGCCTGGCTGTCCTCGGCAGTCAGGCGGGCCAGGCGCACACCGGCCAGGAGCAGCAGGGGGGAGTGGTGCTGAGCTCTGCCCAGGATGTAGCACAGCTGCTGCACCAGAAACCAGCCCTCCCAGGCCATGTTGACAAAGGGGTAGGCAGCTAGAAAGGCTCTGTAGAAACGCTTCCAGGATGATGATGGAGGATGGATGGAGTACTCATCCTCTTCCCTCAGACTGGACACCAGTTTCTCGAGCTTTCCTTTCAGGTAGGGAACAAGAACCAGCAAGAGGAGAGACTTCCAGTGCTGCCTCTTTGGCAGGCCAGCAGTAGCCAGGGGTTGCTGTCTGCAGCCTCCCACCGGGATCCTCTTCAAGCCGTAGAAGTTTTCAGAAAAGGAGGCGCTGCACCTGGCCAGGTAGTGCTGCTGCAGCAGCACATCCAGCAGGACATAGACCTCATCAAACCACCGCCAGAGGGGCCCGAACCGGCCGGGGTTAGACTCAGCAAGGACCTATGGAAAGGGACACAAAGAGAAATGAACAGGGAAGGAGCGATCTGCTGAATTCCAGCAGCTGCTCGTTACACCTCCGGTTCATGGCGCAAGCAGGGGGTTAGAACTGCCACGCTGGGCCCCGGGGTGAGGGCTGGTGATGAGCGGCTTGGCACAGAGCGCTGCGGCCTCTCCGGGTCCCCCCACGGCAGTTTCCTCACAGAACTGTCACCTCCCGGCTGCAGGGCGGAGCGCGGCTCCCGGGGCTGCCCGGCCCTTACCTTGACCAGGTGCTGCAGGGCGGGTTTCACCGCGGCCATCAGGCTGTCCT